ACTCACATTTTTTGTCTAGTGGCGATCTACCATTGTGTGACAGATGTGGTGAAGCGCTAACAGGTGAAGCATTAAGTGTCTAACAGTTAGACACTCTAAGAAGACAATACTTTCTATTACACTACCGACAACATATACCATTACACCCTGCAATGTTCGTCGGTAGGGAACCACTTTTCACTCATAAGCCTGTGCTAGCTTTTTTTAGGAAATTTCCGCTTCTATAATGTAATATACCGAGGCATTGCGGTGGAACATTAAAAAGCACTTGCCTCACTGCCCTTGGACACAAGGGTACTGAGAAGGCACTCGCGCTAGTGCCATATATCATCGCACATGCTTTTATTATCGGAATCTTTCGCCACCCAATTTTACTATAAATTTCACCTCCCTGTCCGTATTTTATTACTTCTAAGTTTTACCCACTTTAGGGCGAGGAATTTCAAGGTCTTTATACAGCCACCCAACATATTCGTTGTTCACATGTCGTCTTATGACCTGGCGCTCTTTGGCCGTCATATGGCCCTTGCGCCACAAAACACCATACATCATCATTATACAAAATTTGGCGTATGTGAAGCTGGCGAAACGACCACGAGCTAACCATGAGCGTGGCATGTTGTCAAGACTTACATGCCATGCATGTAATGATTTACTTGTTGCGGCCCTGCCACTTACGTTTGCCATGCAGTCATGCCATGCCATACCATTATATCAGGTGAACGAAACCACCGAAACGACAGCAAGACCATGACATGTAAATTATATCAATTGTGGCATAACTGTCATGATAGTCAGGTTATGACTAGTCACTGACGCTCGTCATAGAATCAGAATATGTCATATCAATTTTGTTAAATCCCAGTATCCAAATGTCCACGAGAGCAAAAAGTCTTACGCCGCCAGATAGATAAATGGCTAGATGGATAGGTAGATACGGTCAAACTTGCCGAAGTTCGCTAAAAATGTTTGTGGCATTTAAAAACACTGCTGCCATTCATAGGAGCAATGGATCTCGTGTGCATCACATTGTACCGTTGGGAGGCGAGTAATGGTGCCTGGTATAGGCTTGAAAGTACGGGTTGCGTGCAGCGATTATTCAGGACGCACAAAAAAATAAGAGATGAGAGCGCCCATGTTTATCGAATTTTCTTTATTTAGAGCTGTCGCCTAATTTAAGCGCGAAAGAGTATGTGTCAGAAAGTAGACATTTTTTATGGTAATAAATTAGGTATACTTATTAGTATGCATCAGCTCAGTCTTTCTATGCACTCTATGCACGCAAAGAATGATTTAGTATATGTTCATGCTTTGCATTTGAAGACTGAGCGTGTTAGCGACATCCAGCTTTCCACGTTATATGAAAGTACTTGAGAAGTAAAAACAGTGCAGAAATACAGACAAGGACTGAGGAAGAGAAGATAGGGCGCTGACTTTCCAAGCATGAACCAGCAACAAGCACAGCACGACAAGCCTATGACGGGGGGGGGGGGGGGCTAGTTGATAATATATTTAGGAAAATTGTAACTGCGCAAAAAACGAAACACGAGAACGAAGTAGACAGGACGATCACATTCTTTTTTTTTTGCGATCGTCCTGTCTATTTCGTTCTTGTGTTTCTTTTTTGCGCAGTTATATACTTTCTAATGTAGCACAACTTTCGCTTCTACAGAAATACGCACTGCAAACATGTAGTCAAGCGCGGGCACATGTGTAGCAGTGTGCTTTGTTTATGATGTGACTAATAGTAATGTTTTCGACAGGAGCTGCGCACTCCATAGCAGATGGTCTAGTTTAATCATCCCTATCGTTACCAACTTGATATGACGTGACGCTTGATGTAACTCTGGTTTTTTATTGTACAATACTACATCTCTTAACGCTATGACTGAGTGGACGTTACCCCTGTATTACCCGCAATTTGAAACTTCGGTGCTTATACAGAGATCCTTCAAGCACTGGCATATAGCTCTGTGGTACAATGCTCTGTTATCTCGCAAGAAATCGGGGGTAATTTGGACAAGAACACTTCTTTTCTGTTCTTTGTATCCATCGGGGTGTCTAACACATGGTTGTAGACACCGTATGTTCTGCGACAATGGGAGTTAATACTATCGCGTTAAAGTGAAGTGGCATGAAATGGGTTATTACCACGATGTAGAGGTGTGTGCATCAACGAATCCTAATCAAAGCCATCCAAAATGTTATAATTGCTTCAACATGAACGTAATGCATCACTTCACACAAGTGGCATTTGAAATGGTTGAAGGCTTTGATTAATTACGTTTTCATGAATGAAATCAAACACCAATAAACCTCTTGCATATGCTAATGCACAAAAAAGTACCCGTGGGCATGTTTTCGGTCTATATTGACATTCTAAGCCTCTTTCTGCTTTGTAAGCAGTAAATAGGCAAAAGGTAAAGCTCCCTGCTTTGTGTGCAGTCAGGGTTGCTCTTAGGTATGTTCAAAAAGGAGCCGCAACTCTCTGCTAAAGGTGGCAAAAGATGTCGAGCTGCAGGTCACGGGATCAAATACAAATTGCAGCGGCTGCATTTTCGATGGAGGCGAAAATGCTGTAGGCCTGTGTGCTCAGACTTAGGTGCACATTAAAAACCCCAGGTGGTCAAAATTTTTGGAACCTTCCACTATGGCGTCTCTTATAATCATTGGGCGGTTTCTGGACATCAAACCCCACATACGAATCAATTAAAAGATGTCAAACCACTCAATTTCACTGCCAGATTTGCAGCTATAATTAGGAAAGCAGTATTGTAAACAGTTTTTATTGTTCAACAATAAATGACGTCATCATACATCGTTTCATGAACAGGCTTCTAGGCTCCAGGATGCAGGGTACCTGTTCTCTGTGATGTTGTCTGTAGGTATCACGCTATTAAAGAAGCTCAAACATACAACGGCGCCATGTTTCGAACAGGTGGGATAACTGGTTGTAGTTCTGAGGTGGCATCGATTCATTATGTATTGATATGTGGGGTTTAACGTCCCAAAACCACCATATGATTATGAGAGACGCCGTAGTGAAGGGCTCTGGAAATTTCGACCACCTGGGATTCTTTAACGTGCACCCAAATCTGAGCCAACGGGCCTACAACATTTCCGCCTGCATTGGAAATGCAGCCGCCGTAGCCGGGATTCGAACCCGCGACCTGCGGGTCTGCAGCCGAGTAACATAGCCACTAGACCACCGCGGCAGAGCTTAATTCCTTATGTACATAGGCTTTCGCACAGAATATAAAAGGTGGCCGGAAAGTATTATGTAAAGGTGGTGTTTTCAGCTAAAACCTAAACGGAGGAGTGTGCGCGTTGGTGAACCAGAAATGTGAGAGTGTGACCAGCGTACACAAGGAATGCAGCATAAAACACAAGCTCAAGTGTTCAATTCCTAACACCCATTTGGCAATGCATTGCAATGAGTGCGCATGCTCTCTTTGTTTTAGCAACACCACCTTGATATATAAGAATCAAAACAGGACGTCAAGAGAAGTATTGCAGGCCTATCTCATAGACAAACAGAAAGATAGCTGTGTTAGCCTCTCTTCGGTAGCCTTACTGGCGACAGAAATTTTGCTCATGACTGTTATTCTGTGAACTTCTCATCGTTTTTTGGATATGTGCGCTGTGCGTGTGTGTTTTTGGTGAACAGAAAGCGCAGATCTGAGGGGTATAAATTTAATGTGCTCTGAAAAATAAACCAGTTGTTGCATTACGCCTGTTTGTGCTCTCTTCTGTGTCCCTGTGTGCTAGCGCTAAAATTTCAAGATGCCATTATGCTTATCTAGCTTTACCTTGGGATGTCTGGCTGAAATACCAGTCCTGCTACCTTTTTTGCAGATATGAGTTTGTCGCACTCAAGCACGAACAGGCACTGTGTATCTGTATGAGAAATTGTCTTGTAGTGTGACCTTTGATGGCGGACAGCGTGAGCAGCGTGCTAGCCATGCGTTTGCCAATATTCGCTCAACTTTGCGAGTTTTATATACGAAAGCCACACTTAAATTTCTTGTTTAATTTGTAAGTATTCTTGCATAACTTACGCATTTTCTAAAACCTATTGCGAAATATTTACACCAATGAATTTTTTGTTAATCTCCTGCTGTCGGTGGGAGTCGCAGCGAATACATGAACAAGAACATAATGGCAGTATTCGCTCGCGTTGGCTTGACAAAACACTACTTGCCGAGGTGCCAATAAGAGGCCCAGACAACTGGCGGGCTAAGGGCATGCGCATTCATCATCTGACACGTCGGGAAAGCTTGTAAACAAAGGGTAGCCGTTGGGCTTGCTCATTATTTTATTTTTTTCAAATAAGGTGAATGGCTTTTAAAGACACTATTAGGAGTTTAATACAAGGAACAAATAATACAAGGAACACCTAAAGTTCTTGTCCGGAGACGAGGTCGAAAAAAGCCGATTTCTTGCAAAGTAGCTACCAACGGTAGCTACTTTGTAAAGTGCTGGGCATGAGTACCGATGACGACATGCCTTCAAGTAGGTATGCCCTCGTTAGGGCATAATACTGGACAGCTGGAAAGTTAGAGAAACAAAATGAGGAAGAACTACACAAGGCAAGTGCTTTTTTGTGGCTCAGTTTTTTGTCCACTGCTCATCATTATGCATCTCTAAACAAGCCCTCATTTCTGCTCTTTCGTCCTTTTTAAAGCTTGGTTTCGGGCTGGCCGAACAACCGAATGGTAGGAGCGGCTTTGTACCTTCTCTCTCTTGGGCTATGTCTTTTTAGAAAGATGAACTTCAGTTAATATGCATTCGAGCAAATCATATCTCTCGCGTATACACGTTGCTCGACATAGCCAAATAAATTTCTGAGCGTACGGGATACTCATGGAAAATCACCGATAAAATTTTTGTAATGTCATGTCACCTGCTGTTTCATACCTCAGCGCTTAAGGTGACTTTTGCGGCTGAAGTTTTGATAAATGATCGCGTTGCTAATGAACACCTTATGCCGTATATTCCAGGACGAAGAAAAAGTTCGGGTGGGGGAAGTGTGTGGCTGCTACAGAGCACTGGCACTTACTCGCCGACGGGCTCATGAAGTGGACTCTTCCGCAGCCACCATAGTAGAGACCGGGGTACGGCTGACTGCAATTGCGCGAAGGAGAACGCTCATGCACAGGGATCAAGAGCTAATATGGGTGCACGCTCCCCGAGATCTCAGTGTGTCGATGCAGAAGCTGTGCAGCTTCGAGTTGACTCCTGCTGCTAAAGAAGCCATTATTGGTGCTGCTTATGCCCCAGAAGACTCACGTAAAGATTATATGTTTAAATATCTACTTATAGCCAGTTGCATGCCTGCGAAGTCATATTTAGTAGCGGAGACGGAGAAATTAAGCGCCGCAACCAGGCAAATTCACATGAGTGTTTGATCATGCCTCTTCACTGTTATCTCTCTCTACATTACCCTCAATCCTCCGTTCCCACGGCAAACCTTCACAATATTCATAATAACTAGAACTACTCATTCCCACCCCTGGCATGCTACACTGTGCATGGCTATGCCATCGTTTGATCTCTTCCTTCTTTCCAACTTTCCCCCCTCACCTTCCTTTCACTGCTCTTCATGCTCACTTCCCTTTGCCTCTCCCTTGCCGTACTACAATACAACAGAAACGAAGGGCACAACACGACGCCTTCATTTTCTTAGTTCTTTTTTTGCGCTTTTTTCACATATTAATTTGAACCAACTGGCCCAACGGTCTCTGTTGATTACACTATTCATGAATGTTCTGTTTTTGTGCGAATATACCTAATATATAGGTTATCCGCAAGGCCCTTAGACTGTCGCACCGCCAAGCGGAATTCAGAAGCGTCCTATCAAAGTGGTCTGCTGAGGACACAATGGCATCACTACACAGTCGCTTGCTTGTTCAACGTGGTAGCCTGACTGACGAACAATACGACTTAGCATGTTGCCTGGCCCTTTATCACAAGCATAATCTGATTCGTGCTGCGAGACGCGAGGTTTACGTAAAATACGTGTCCCCTTTCTGTTCTATTCATAATTTTTCTTCCTTGATGGTACACGTCATTGTGTATTTCAGTAAGCATGTACCAACTAGCCTACCAGAAAAATTTATGAAATAGTTCACAGAGTACACAAGGCAGCTTCTCAAGGTTTTCGCAGCCATGTAGGTTAGTTAACCGCTATCCTCTCACCTTTTCAATTGAAACACCTTGTTTTATTTGCACATAGCAGTCGTCAATGCTTTGTACCGCATGGATCCCATAACATTATACGCAGGAATTCGCGCGACGTAGTGATTCGCTCTTCCGTAACTGAGCAATCTCAAATTGGCTAGCGCTGCACCACTTCTGTTTGCAAGTTTGTTCATAGATGACCGCACAGTGCAAGCGATTTTCTTCTCGACAAGTTTGAGAGCAAAATCTTCTCCACGCCCAGGTAAACTGGGCTCACAGTATGCTCACGAGGTCGTTCGGCGGAGCAAGGTTATCAAATGGCTTTCAGCTGTGGTGCAAAAAGAAACCATCTTGATGACGAGGATCTTTCACTGGGCGTAGAAGGCTGTTAAAGCAACGGCAGTGAGAGCGACGATGCCCTGTCAGCTGCTAACTCACGAGGAGCGAGTGGCAGTTCCTTTCCCTCATGCGTTAATGTTTTTTCGCACTTACATGTCAGTTTGATTGCATTTATTGTAAATTTTCCTTTCACGATATCAAAATAAAGCGTATGTTTTCTGGTACATGGCATGTAACGCAATTATGTTGCATTATACGGGGTGCCCTATGGAACCAATACGCCTGAGCTTGAACAGGGAGCGCAATGGCTATGGAGCGAAAAAAACGTGCAGTCACGGCCACAACTGACGCCTATGAGCTTACTAATGTACTTCACCGGTACTTTTATAACGTCTTTGTTAGACGAATTTTCGCAACGTCACAGAATTCAACGTTGTGAAAAGCATACGTGTTTGTTAATTTCCGATTTGGTTTTTTGATTGTGCTGATCGAACCTGTAACATAAGAGTACAGTGAATCGAGCATGGCTTAAGTCTGAGCAGGGAAGTGCTCCAATACTGCAAATATTTCGATTGTCCAATGCTTCCGTTTCGTTAAACGAAAAACACTTTATTTCCGGACAACACAAATTATGGCGACGACTTTAAACATTCGGTCCCGTGCAGCACCGATGGCACTACTCGTTTGCGGCCTACAGCTGCGGCGAATCCTTCGGGCAGGCTAGGTACATGCTAACTCATAGTGCCACTCAGTTTACACAATTCTAGTTCATGTAGTTTTCTGTAGCACGCACAGGATTCCACAAAGCTTTGTTTTTGCGCGGTAATGGAGCTAAAGTATAACTTCTCACACCGCCGCAAATAATGAAGTGATGAGCTTTGCTTGTTAGGTAATGTACTTGGGTGTCATCAATTTTGGCGAGGGTCATAAATTATATCTGTGAAATCGACATAAGTAGTAAATCCCCACGTCGCACTTGTTCGTATGCTACAAAATAGGTTTACCCGTCTTTAGGCAATAACTTGCATCTTTAGCATGCCACCACATGAGAGTTTGATCATGTCCCTACGCTGTTATCTCTCTACATAACACTCACTCCTCCATTCTGTTCTTTATAGGCATTGCTGATGCGATGCCATACGCTCTCCTCCTTCCCTTCTTCATCACGCTGTATTTGTCTTTACTGAACACCTTGTTATGTATACTATGCATGGCAATGTAATGCCAGGAGGTACTATGATGCGCTTTCTCACCTGTTCCTAACCTCATCGATTCTCCTCACTTCCATTTCCCTTTCTCATTCAATTGATGAAGTGTACTCTGCAACGAAATCTCCTGCTTTACCCTTGTTCCCCTTATTTTTCTTCCTCCCCATGCTCAGTTTCTTTACCATTCCATTATTTATTTTATAGTGCGCGTATCTATTCAATACTCAATTACTATATAGGGCTATACTTTGTGTATCCTCTCCCGTCCTTTTATTTCTTCCTCCTGACAAATAGATTGGCTTCCTCTTCAAACTTTCCTTCATTGCCCTCTTGCTATACTGTTCTGTTCATAAATATGCTATGCTAGGATCTTCTTACGATCCGCCACGTACCCGCCTAAGTATCTTAAACGACAGCCTGCATATCCTAAAGCTTGAATGGCTTGGCTGTTATGTGTTCAGGAAAGCATTTGTATATCTGCGTATGGGATACACCGCTTTGGGATAGCAGTGGGGCGATGCGCGTAAGTTGATCTAAACACTTCTTCTTTCTAGTTGCTAGGAATAGCAGATTGTGCAATAAAATACAGAAGTGAATTTTCACGCTGGAAAGTGTGAGGAGAATGGTCAGGCTGAGTTTTCACAAAAGCCATACTTGTATTGTTTGAGTAAATGTAGAATAAAGGCTACTCAGGCTTTGTTTTGAGTCAAGTGTATTAGTTCCCTTGGCCTTACGAGCCTTTTCCTTCCTTTTCTTCTCTCCTTACTTAACATTTTCCTACTATTCCCCCTTCCACTGTAAGGAAGTAAACCGGGTGCAACCTGCTTAACTTCCCCGCACTTCGTTTGTTTTTCTCTCTCGCTTTTTCTCTCTCTCAAAGAAGGCATTAGTGTACTGAAATAGAAGCCTTACAAGATTTTCAATGCGAAACTGTTAAACAGCTTATTGCGGAAAATTGCCAGTGTCGGCTTCGTTGGTTGTGAGCAAACAATACGAGTTTTCAATAACCTAAAAATCGTAAATTATGCAAATAAGGTAAATACTAAAATATTGGGTTTCAGTAAGAATGAAACCAAACTCTTCCATGTGGCAAACGAGGTTTAAACCAGAGAACCACTTGATTGCTTCGAATTAAGCCACTATATGAGAGTCAGATAGTGGGAGCAGCTGCCTTATTCATGCAATATTGAGTGGTATAAGCGTCGGATAGTGCTAGGTGCCGAAGCATGCGACTTGCGCAACGAATGAGTGTCTCGAAGGCCCAACCATAAGAAAGCGCTCACATATTTAGCCATTAATATAAGCGAAACCCTCAAACAATACAGAAGTTGCATACGTTTGCGTGTTGCTCTGCGGGCACATAGTAGGCCCTTCGGTAATTTGCAAAACGAATAATTATGGCGTTGTGAGAAGTGCGCAATTGTACTTGCAAAAGGCATTCTAGGATTGTTTCAAACTGTCCATATTACGGACAGAGACGTTCGTATTCTTTCGGCATGGTTGAGTGCCCACCGAGACACCAAGTCAGACAAGCAAATTAAGCTGAATCGCATGCGGCCCGATTACGCTGTCGCGTTATGCAACTAATTGCCAAGCTGCAGCGCCCTCCCAGGTTTTATGAGTTCTCGTTTTCTTCGCCCCCTGCATCTGTTCTTCAGCGCACGGTAGCAATGTGAACGTGCGTCTGGCCAACCGCCGTGGTCTTGCTTGTGTTCTTCCCAACGTAACAATGCGACAATGCTATTGGCTATAGCTTTCTGAAGTGAGAGATAATGAACAACTTTTGTAACTTGAAATGAGCTTTGAATGCGTACACTTAGCTTGGGAACAATTGCAGTGTTTTTTGATGAAGTAACCTCTCGATATTTGCAGATGATCTCGCAGAGTGGGAGACATTTACCAGGGCACTGCTGAGTGTGCACCATTGCGTTTATCACTTGCACCTGCATATCTCGGCTGTCACCCGACCTCCTGGACACTTCTACCAGAGCTTTAGTTTACAAAAAGGAACCGCGCTACTCAGAATTGAGGTCTCTGCATTCGAAGACCCTTCCATGGACTTCATGATGCCGTACTTGCAGTACCTGTGTCGAATAAGGAATGCCCGCATGACTTCTATATACGTTGAACGCAAATGTGCCCCACATCCTGACGATATACCCAACGACGTGTATGCATCAGTGATTGTCGGTGACGGACTTCCGGAACTTGGCGACAACAGGTACTTCATCCTCCTTTCTTTTTCACTAGGGTATAGGGTATACAGTCGCAAAGAAATTATTATGGTTGCAATAACGAATTACATATGAAAATGTATGAAAAGAATACATACGCCAAAGAACAAAACGTGAGCATTGCCACTTCATTCTTTGCTGTTTTTATGATTGTTAATACCCTGACTATATATTATGCTTTCGAGGTGTCCATAATGCGGCTTGGCGAATGTATCACCTTTGATTACCTGCATTGATGTCATTTCGCGTACGCAATATATACTACGCACTCAAATTAACATTTAGTAGCAGCTTGTTTTATATCCAAGAACCGTCAACACGGCTCAGTTTAGTTTAGACAAATCGAAATGTCCTAGCTCTTTCGTCATGCCTTACAAAGCTGCGGTTTCAGATGATGTTACGCATATGATTTTCATGAACATTTGACCAGAAAGAACAACACTTTTAGAGATATTTATTGTTATCTAAATTTAGGAAGCTCTCCCAGATTAATGAAAATTAGCTCGTGTATTTTAAGTACATAAACCAGTAAACTATCGCACTGATATTTTCTCCTTCCATCCCATGAATCTCGCCAACTGTGTTTGTGAGCTAATGGTGAAAATTTTTTGAAAACCCGACACAATGGTGGTATAATACATAAATGAGTTGTTGAGCTAGATCACAGAGTTTTTTTTTATGTGATGGGGTGTGGATGCAGTGTTGGTCATTCTCACGCACGTCGAGAACGAAAAATGTTGGGCAAATGTTAAAATTGCAGTAGTGCCAAGTAATGGGCATGCTTTGTGGAATGCAAATTACATACACATGGTTGTTGAGTTGTTAGATTGGCCTATGTGGTAATACGCTGATATAGATCCAGAATTTTATAGTAAATTAAAAAAGTGCAGAGCCCACGTACAGTGGTAGTTGATAATATCTTAAACATTAATGAGGAAGATTTATACGTCACTTTAAAATCAGCACAACGTTAAGAGGTGGACGTAAATTACGCTGTACATGACATCCATGTCGTTATCATCCTATTTGCATCTGGAATTTCTTTTTGTCGTCAATTCACGGCATTTAAAACCAAATTTGGCATATGGGAACCTAGCGAAACGACCACGAGCGCATCATGAGCGTGGTATATTGTTTTGTTCTTATGACAAGCATCTCATGATTATCATGTTTGTACCAGTCATGTTTTCTTGCCATCTGTTCAGGTCACCAAACACCGAATTTTGTATACGAAGCTAGCGAAACGACTACGAGTGCACTATGAGCGTATAACGTACTCATGTTTTACATGACACGCATATCATGATTATCCTGTTTGGGCGTGTCATTTACCCTCGTCGTTCATTCACGTCACGTAATACCAAATTTAGTATATGTGATGTTATCGAAATGGCCGCAATCGCATCTTGAGCGTAGCAAGTATTCGTGTTCTTGTATGACACGCATCTTATTATTAACATGATTGCACCAGTCTTATGCCTTCATCACTAATTCACGTTCCGTAATACCAAATACAATTGTGATATGTGAGGCAAATGAACCAACCACGAGCGCACCATGAGCGTGAAGTGTGGTCATAATTGACATGGCATGCATGTCATGATTTCCGCATTACAGTGGGCCGCTTATATTTGCCGTGCAGTCATGTCATACTATACCAGTTGCAATATGTCAAGTGAACGGAGCCACCGCAAGAGCAGCAAGATAATGATATGTAAATCATAACATTCATGCATACATTTCTTAATTTTCATGTTATGACTAGTCACTTATGCTCGTCATACAGTTATGATATGTCGTGCCAATTTTCGTATCGATACCATTATTGAAACGGCCAGGAGAGCTTAGAGGTTGCTAGATAGATAGATAGATAGATAGATAGATAGATAGATAGATAGATAGATAGATAGATAGATAGATAGATAGATAGATAGATAGATAGATAGATAGATAGATAGATAGATAGATAGATAGATAGATAGATAGATAGATAGATAGATAGATACGCTCAATGTCGCCGAAGTTTCCACAAAAGTTTAGGGCCAAAGTTAATTATCATATCGTAACATGGGGCATTTAGCACGCTAACAAATGTCCTTCGTAGAAGCGTGCGTACCGAGGTACGTCCGTTTATATTGAGTTGTGTAATATTACTATCGCAAAAGCTTTTATCGGGACAGCAGTCTTCGCTGTGCTCACACAAATTCAGAGAGGCTTCTGTTTCGCATACAAGAGTGATCCAAGGAACGCTGCCGGAAGTTTTTGCAGTAACAACTTCTCAAGCAAGGACGTTTGAGTTTACAATACTCAACGACCACCGTAATACTCCTCACGAGATGGCAGCTGAAAAAGTTATATCTTGCGACGGAAGAACAGGTGCTGGTTTTCGTAAACGAACATGAATTTTGTGACTATCTATTACCAATAGTTGTCATGGACGTCAACTTTACTAGAAATATCAAATCAAGTCAACGCCATTATAGACATACTTCGCCGACCCGGTCACAGCATGTATGAAGGAAACCAATCTCTTCACTTTTGGAAGTTCACAACGCACTTATAAAACAGAAATTGGCTTATTCAGCAGCTATTTCGCTTGTCTTCTCGCTATCTTTCACTGCTTACCATCACTGTTGAAAACAAGTCTGAGGATCTGTCTAGAAGTGAGGGTTTTTCCCGTCTCTTCTTTGTTCTGTGTTTTTTACCGCAGCCATGTATTATCTCTAAAAAATTTAAGTGACGGTGCAGGGCCTACAACTTGGCACAGCCTTTTCGTTACACTTCTACAGCAACACTGATGTAGATGCGCACCGTGCAATTCTCGAAGGCATGACAAATTAGGAACAAATATGTTACTTAATTATAAAGTATCATTGTGCCTAAAAGAAAAGAATTGTCCCATCGCCCGCATTGGGTGTGAAAAAAATAGCGCTTGACCACCTGAAAAAGCTTTAAAATTTGTCAAACGAATATTGTTGACATCGCGTGTTTAGTTATATGTATTTGTTTGCTTTGTTGCACCTGACAAGCCATACAAAATATTTGACTTTATACGTGGACATGTTAACTCATTTACCTTAAAGAACCAGTGACAGCAAATTTACGCATGCCATGTTTTCTGCATCCACGTGTAGTTACCAAACCCCTAGTAACAGTTCGCTACTCAAGGTGAGTAAACATATTTATAAAAAAGGTGAATAAACATATTTCATATTTATTATTAGCACCAGTATCGAGTGTGATTCAAAATATGTACAAAGCCTGCCAGTTCTAAACTAGTGCAAAGGCCGCCGCGCTGCCCACGTGGCAGCGCTGCCGCTCGATCACCTGTACTGTGGTCACGCCACATTTGATCACGTGGCCACATCGGAAATTGACGCGAGAATAAGCTCACATTTGGTATTCGTGCCCGGGACAAGCAGGCGCAGCCGCGCAGTATATTAGCGCTGCCTGCGACGATCAGACACGGGAATCGTGTCAGGGCAGTGCATAGAGTTTCATACAATAATACCGAGAAGGGAATGAGGCAAATCTGGGGCTAGTGTCTACGTGGGCTTCTTCAGTGGCGCTTGTACCCCTATGGGAATTATGGGATATTGATTGATATGTGGGGTTTAACGTCCCAAAACCACTATATGATTATGAGAGACGCCGTAGTGGAGGGCTCCGGAAATTTAGACCACCTGGGGTTCTTTAACGTGCACCCAAATCTGAGTACACGGGCCTACAACATTTCCGCCTCCATCGGAAATGCAGCCGCCGCAGCCGGGATTCGAACCCGCGCCCTGCGGGTCAGCAGCCGAGTACCTTAGCCACTAGACCAGCGCGGCGGGGCTATGGGAATTATGGGAAGGGCAGGCTTCGGATCCGCTTCGGATGGATTACATTCTTGAAATTAGCGACGTTTCCTTTTCAAGTGTAATACAAAGTAATATGAACTTATATTTATTATAAACTTTCTTCAATTATTTGTACGCAAACTTTATTGCAAAAAGTTGTGGTGACCAGGCGGCAAAACGGAAACCTGGGGAAACTCAATCATCAGGGTATGCATCTTTCCGCCATTGAGTTCCAGATTTGGCATCAAGAGTTTATGAATCATTTTATTACAACACTTGAAAACAAACATGCTTGTCTTTTCTCGAATGTATTATTGATTTATGAAAATACCATTACAGTAATAAATGAAACACTTATTGTTTCGTCTTCCGTGACGTGAGGTGCGTCTGTCTCAGAGGTTTGCCCCCACGCACCTCTGGTTCTGGTGTGAAGTTGAGTTAGCGGAGCGTGACGGTGCGTCTACTTAGTTTTGGAATCGCTTTGAAGTAAATTTAAAATGAGTTTATGGAAGACGCGCTAGTGGAAAACATGAACTCGAGGCAATATCCTGCACTGGCATGAGGCACTACATCTAAACGCAGTGGTGAGTGGACGACGCTTATTTTAAACTGTCAAATACGACTCGTAGGCTCCAACGTCGCCGAAAATCAGGAGATGTAGTAGTCAGAAGCCTCTTGGAACAAGAAAAGCACTGCTTCAGCCTTTTTCACCACACCCCACTACACGCGCTGAGCAAAGAACCCAACTGTAGGACAAAGTTCGTAGACCGTTCTCTAGCTAACCTTATCCAATCCGAAGCCTGTACTTCCCATAATTATAATGGAGGTACACGATCGCAGCACCAAATTTCTTTCTAGGTATTATTGTATAAAACCCTATGGGGCAGACTTTTCATCTTCACTCTGAGTGGATACATGCAATTCAGACGATTAAAAATCGGGGGACGAATGAAAATACTCGAGTAAGCACACTAACTGCGTCTCTTCTAGATAAAGCCCATGGAGTCCATTTTACTAACCTCACTAGTGTGACACAAAGCCGTGTTGAAGGCAGACACCACCTTTGTGCGGGAGGGCTCGTACTGAATTTGGAAGTATCTCTAACAAAAATTTAGTGCACAAAGTAGTGCTTTCAAGCACAAGAAAAT